CGTTTTAGGTAGGTGTGGCTGACTCTTAACTTTTATAAAGAATATCTCTTTGGATTTGAGACTTTAGTCTTTGCAACTTTACAGATCTTCTTTATGCACCAAGAGCTTGTAACACTCCAAAGAGAAAGGAAAAAATGAAATCGCATCATATGACCCCTTTAAGAATAATGAGATTTACAAAAACTTAAAAGTATTAACTTTTGATAAATTTGCTTAATTGTCATGAAAAAACGTCTAAACTTTTAAAATTCAAATAGTCATATAAATAGGGTTCAATTTATATATTTATATTTTTTTATCTATAAATTGGGGGGGGGGAAGGGGGGATATGACCCAAATATGTTTTCATACAATTAATTAATTGATATCCCACTCATAAACATGTGAAACTCCCTGTCAGAGGGGCAGTAAAGGAGTGACTGGTTTTGATCTGATCTCAGCGCATTCTGTGTGGCTAAAATACACAGTTCTGCCAGCTGAGCAAGCAGCCCGTGAGGAGCTTCACAGCCTCAGATGGAGGAGAAATCCCCGACTGCTGAGGGGTCAAAAGTTGGATTCCTGCATTTCTCTCTGGTTGTCTTTGCCTGACTAAATGCCCCTGCTCTTATGATTTTAAACCCATCCCTTTAGAGGCACTTAACCCCTCTGTAAGAACTGCCCTGGGCAGGGTTGGGAATCTGTCCTCCTCCGTATGGAAATCATCTCACTTCTTTCCCAGGCTTCTGGGAAGGTTTTACAAGATTGCATGATTAAAGTTGTACAGATGATGTAATTAACATGCATGATACACCTCCTAAGTCGTCTACTGGAGAAAAAGCTTGCGGTGGTTTTCACTGTGGCAAATGTATCATCATGTGAGTTAATTATCAACTTTTTTTATATGCAATGAAATCAATTCTTTGACTCTTTTTCTTTGTGTGTAGAACAATCGTGTGCGGAGATTTGCATTCGAGCTGAAGATGCAGGATAAGAGTGGCTATGTTCTGGCTGCAGACTCTGAGAGCGAGATGGACGACTGGATCAACACCCTCAACAAAATCCTCAACAGCAGCTTTGAGCTCGCCATGCAGGACAAGAGGAATGGAGAATTACACGATGGTGTGTGTGTGTGTGTGTGTGTGTGTGTGTGTAAAGATTATCAAAAACCCTTAGTCATCTGTTCATTTTAGACACATTTAGATGCACATTCCTGAAGCAAACACACAAACCACTCTGACCTCCACACATGGGAGTGACTGTATTCACAATGACAAAGAGACATGACTGTGTCTCTGAGAGAGTTACTGTGTGGTGCAATGACTTTCTTCTGTCTGTCTCTGTTGTAGATGATGAACAGGCGAAAAGCGATCACTCCTCTAGCAGTATGGACAGTTTTCAGGTAGGTCGCACTTGTCCAGAAACAGCTTTGCCCCTTGAGTGTGAGAGAAACTCGACATCTGACTGACCACAGAAATCATCACACTACTGCTGAGTGTGAGGGGAATTTTTTGTATGTACAGTTGGTCTGTAGCTAGACTTTTGACTGTCATTTTAAAGTCTGGTCCACTTGGCAGCTTATCCTGGCCAAGAACCGCCCACTGAGAATGGAAGGGTTGCTTGATAGACATTATTTGACATTAAGGAATGGAAAACTGAAAATCTTTGAAGTAAAGCAGAATATAAAGGTGTGCAAGAGGAAGTCTTGCTTGTTACTAAGCATCTCAGAACAACTGTGAATGTCTTGTGAAGTTTCAATGCTGTGAGCATCAACAACTTTGTCCATTTCAGCAACTAGTTCTTAAAGGGTTAGTTCACCCAAAAATGGAAATTCTGTCATTAATTACTCACCCTCATGCCGTTTCAAACCCGTAAGACCTTCGTTCATCTTTGGAACACAAATTAAGATATTTTTGATGGAATCTGAGAGCTGTCTGACCCTGCATAGACAGCAACGCAACTGAAATGTTCCCAAGTCCAGAAACGTAGCAAGGAGATCTGTAAAATAATCCATGTGACATCAGTGGTTCAACCGCAATTATACAAAGCTACGAGAATACTTTTTGTGCACAAAAGAAAAAAAAATAACGACTTTATTCAACAATTCGTCTCCGGATCTGATCTCCTTGCTACGTTTCTGGACTTGGGAACATTTCAGTTGCGTTGCTGTCTATGCAGGGTCAGACAGTTCTCAGATACCATCAAAAATATCTTAATTTGTGTTCCGAAGATGAACGAAGGTCTTACGGGTTTTAAACGACATGAGGGTGAGTAATTAATGACAGAATTTCCATTTTTGGGTGAACTAACCCTTTAAGACTAAAGGTGCAGTCACATTTATCATCGTTGTGTGAAATTTCACAGGCGGATTCCATTCACTTCAGTAGGAACTTGTGTTGAGTTTTGAGGAAATCGAGTTTTGTGCGAGGGCGAAAAAGTTCCCCATGCAGATTTCTCTCATTTTCAAATTCTCTACACTGATGAACAGAAAGCTGCTTGGTTTGAAAGTGACTTCTGTGTGAGCTTTGTACATTGTTACACAATGGAAAATTACCATATTTGCCTGTAAAATTCGCTAACAAATTCCAGCAATCAACAGAAGTCACTTTTAAATCAAGCAGCTTTCTATTGATCAACATGACAAATTCGCGTGAGCAACTGGAACCTGTTGCGAAATCTTTCGCCCTCACACAAAATTCCCAAACGTGTGGATTCCTGTTAAAAAAAATTCACCCAACTGCGATAAATGTGTCCGCTCCTTTAAGTCAAGTCACCTTTATTTATTTAGCGCTTTATGCAATACACATTGTTTCACAGCAGCTTCACAGTAATAAACAAGAAAACAACAGTATTGATGCTGCAGTTCTTCAATGAAACAAATAGTGTCATTATTGAACTCCATTTAGTGTTGTGTTGATTTGATTTAGATCAGTAACAGTGTGAATTTAGCAAAGTTCATTAGTTATGAAGTGAACTCAAAGCAGTTCTATAGAAGCTAATAGTGTTGTTATTCAACACATCAGTTCAGTGTTGATTCAGTTTAGTTCAATATACTGCAAATTTTATTCAATTATCAAATGAGCTTAATTCAGCAAAAAGCATCTCTATAGAAGCTCATAGTGTCGTTATTCAGCTCAAGTCAGTTCAGTGTTGATTCAGTTTAGTTTAATAACAGTGTCGATTAGGGCTGGGTAAAAATATAGATATCTCGATTTTAATCGATTCTCATTTTTACGGAACGATATCGATTCTTAAATCCCGAGAATCAATTAGCCTAGCCTGTTTTCAGTTAATGGACAGAACGTTGAAGGGCACTTACTTTTTCTAAGTATAAGTCAAGTATACTTAAATGTCGTTTTAAGTATATTTCTGAGAAGTACATAAAAAGTAGACTAAAAGTATACTTTCCTATTTTTAGTTTAAAAGAAGCATACTAATAGCACACTTGAATAAACTTCTTTTTCGTAAGGGGTGACAGATCGCTGTAGCGCCTCAGTTCGACAGACACGGCAGCGCGAGGCGCATGTGAACTAATCATCTCATTAATACCTGTTTTAGCACAAAATAAACATGACTAAACATCCGAAGGTAAGTTAAAAGAAAGAGTACAATGTCACGTAACGTCACATTTACCTCAGAAAAACATATTTGGTGAACTAAACTCGT